TACAAAAGACAGGTGAGCTGTGTAAACCGGATGATAGACAAATCCATCTGCTTCAATTTGGGAGGAATAAATATTTTAGAGATTAGACGGAGACGTTAGAGGTACAGAGTCGACGTATGTTTTTTTAAAGGAAAAGGCAAACTCAGTTGTAAGCAGAAAGTTATAAAACTACTTCTCTTCACATGAGAAAGGAGGTGTGTGAACCGAGCTATGGTCTATAACCTATATACTACTATTAAGGAAAAGAATTAAATAGCAAACATAACTAAACAGTTTAAACGGAGATGTTGCATATAAAAAAATAGGGATAAAATAGAATTAAAGATAAAATAAGTTTTCTTTTTTTTAAAATTAGAGTGCAGTGAGGTTCCAGGTGGGGGATTGATATCAAATATATATATTTTGTTATGATGCTTAAGAAACTGTCGGCGCATTAAGAATTATTAAGTTTTAACCTACTATAAGTTGTAAAAAAACATCTATCAAATAAAAATTCAGAGGGAAATTAATTTACTGTTGTAACGACAGAGATCTTGCTTGAGCTTTTTTTTAAGTAGGTATGCAAAAGACATTCTTTAAAAGATTCGTTAGTCACGGAAATGACCAGTGAGATTGCAAATACGTTAAATGAAGCTATCTGTTAAAAATAGTTTTCTCTATCACCTATGATAATTGCTACGAGGAATACTTTAGGACGTTAATTAAAATATTATATGGACGCACATGCGGTCTTTTATAAAAGAAAACACCGAATGGTCGTTGTAATGAGTATGAAAATAATTTCCATCTAAAGATGCTACTTTAATTTAAAGAGAAAGCCATTTATTTTTCTTCTACTTCCTCTTTATGTAACGTGTTCCTTCAGAACGTAAGCGATCTTGGCTCTCCCTGTACTTAATATACCTTTATAAATTTTGTCTTTTAGCTATTTCACCTAATATTCTAGAGCCGGAAAGGCAGAAGTAAATCTGAGTTTACACTCAAGTTTCAGAACAGTCATTTGTTAGGTATATATCTGAATCTGCAAGTACCCAGCCAGAAATCGGGTACGATTTGGGACTGAGGAGTCTTGTCTCTCTGCAAGCAATACATACTCGCGTGCACACACACACATACACTCGCGCACACACACATATATATACATATATATATTCATACGCACACATAGATACACACACACACACATATATATATATATATATATATATATATATATATATATATATATATATATATATATATATATATATATATATATATATCATAGTGATATTAAAACAATTTCTGCGATGAATAATGAAAGAATACTTCTGAGAAGGCTAACCGATATTGTTAAAATCTAATTGTGCCCATTGCATATCACTTATTCATTGAATTTTGCCTTTTTGAAACATTTCAACATTCATTAAGTTTTGACGCTGACTTATCTGCCATGAAATTGTTCCTTGTTAAATTTCTTTGTTGTGCCGACATCCATTATCGCACAACAACGAAGTAATTCTACATCTCTGAAATGCACTTGGCTTGAGAAGAAGAAGAAGAAGACGATATATATATATATATATATATATATATATATATATGTGTGTGTGTGTGTGTGTGTGTGTGTGTGTGTGTGCGCGCGTTGACTAAATTGTCGCCATATTATATTTTTTCATTTCATGTTGATTATTTTGATTTTGTCGACTGAACATTATAGTAGTGCATCCTCTGTGAGAAAAAGAAGCACCATGACGCAATTCCCTCAGCCAGAAATTTGGAAACGGCATGCTGTAATACTTGGCATTCGGAGTATTTGGAAAGAGTTGGATGAAAAAAAGAAATCCCGAATTTGTTTGCCTCAGATGCAACACGGCGGTCTACACCAAGTACCTTGTGGAGGTAGTACTGCCTTGGATCAAGAAGGTGTCTTCAGGAAGACCCTATGTCTGACAACAGGAATCTGCACCATGCCACACAAACAGACGATCTCATACATGGCTGTCAGACAATTTCTGCGACCACATCAGAAATTACCACTTGGCACCTAACTCTCAAGATTGCAATATCCTTGATTTTTATGTGTGGGCACAGTTCAACGAGAGACCATAAAAGTACTTGTAGCACCAAAGATGAACTGAAGGTAAGAATTATGGAAGGATTCACAAACTTAAACAAAGAGACCGTCCAGAAGTATTACAAGAAATTCCGAACTTGCCTGGAGGCGGGCGTGCTTGAAGCCAATGGCGATTTTATTGAATAAATTTACTCTTTAGTATTTCAAGGTATTTTTTTGTAATTCTGGAAATACAATCGTTAAAATAAGATGACAGTTTTATTTTAATTTCTGCTTCATTTAGACGACAATTTATCCATCACTTCATACATACATACATATATATATATATATATATATATATATATATATATATATATATATTGAGATAGATAGATAGATAGATAGATAGAGAGAAAGAAATAAAGAATGGAAACAGATGGATGGAATGAAAACTAAATGAAAACAGACTAATAGAAAATGAACGAAAAGAGAAAAAAGATAGAAAAATGAATGAATTAAAAGAGATAGAAAGATAGATAGATAGATAGATAGATAGAGAGGGAGAGAACGAGAGAGAAAGAGAGAGCGAGAGAGATACTGTAAAAGATATTAACAGATTCTAACATAGATAGATAGATAGATAGATAGATAACAATGAATGCTTTATATATGTGTGGACTTCAATGTTCATACAGAAAGTGAGAGAGAGAGATAGAGATTAAGGCAGAGAAAGACAGATATACAGAAAGGGTGAGAGAGAGAGAATCAGACAAAGACAGACATACAGAAAGAGAGAGAGAGTAAGAAGAGAAAGACAGACATACAGAGAGAGAGAGAGGCAGAGAAAGACAGATATACAGAAAGAGAGAGAGAGAGAGTGAGGCAGAGAAAGACAGATATACAGAAAGAGAGAGAGAGAGAGTGAGACAGAAAAAGAGAGATATACAGAAAGAGAGAGAGAGAGTAAGGCAGAGAAAGACAGATATACAGAAAGAGAGAGAGAGAGTAAGGCAGAGAAAGACAGATATACAGAAAGAGAGAGAGAGTAAGGCAGAGAAAGACAGATATATAGAAAGAGAGAGAGAGAGTAAGACAGAGAAAGACAGATATACAGAAAGAGAGAGAGAGAGTAAGACAGAAAAAGAGAGATATACAGAAAGAGAGAGAGAGTAAGGCAGAGAAAGACAGATATACAGAAAGAGAGAGAGAGAGAGAGAGAGAGGCAGAGAAAGACAGATATACAGAAAGAGAGAGAGTAAGGCAGAGAAAGACAGATATACAGAAAGTCTGAGAGAGTAAAACAGGGACAGATATACATACATACCTACATACATGCATATACATGCAGAGAGACTAAGGCGGAGAAAGACATACAGAAAGACTGAGTGAGTAAGGCAGATATAGACACACATGCAGAAAGTCAGTGAGAGTAAGGCAGTGAAAGACAGATATACAGAAATACAGTGTAAAGCTGAGAAAAAAAAAACATAGATACATATGTACACAAAGACCGAGAGAGTAAGGCAGAGAAAGATAGCCATATATATATATATGCAGAAAGACTCCAAGAGTAAGGCAGAGGAAGACATACAAAAAGACTTAGAGAGTAAGGCTGAAAAAGAGAGATAGACAAGCATAGAAAAAGAGGGAGAATGTAAAGGAGAGACAGAAAGGCGCTCAGTAGTAGAATATCTCAGAAGAAGGCATAGCCATAGAGACAACGTGATTATGACGCGAAAAAGACTGCAACAGAGAAGAATAGTACAGATATATGCAAAGTGTTGTCAAGGGAATCACAGTGAAGACAGATCGAGAAAATGTCACAAATTTAATCATTTTAGTTTTTTTTTCCGCCTGAAAATCCTTTCGCGATATGTTTTGGCTAGGAGGCACCTCCTTCTCACATCGCAGCCTCTAGAAAATTCCTTCCGTCGTTTTCTTTTCTTTTCTTTTTTAATACCGGGCCCTTGGCAGGCCTGGAAGCGTGTCGTGCTGCTCTTGCTATTCACAGGGATTATAAATTCGAACCGTAGAAAGAAAATCACGGATTATAATTTGTTTAATTTTTTGACACAGATTAACTTCGGGGAGAGATATGACAGATTACCATTTATGGGGATATGCTACGATGAGAAAAAAATCCAGGCCTATTTAAATTAAATATAGACGAAAGCCGAATACAAATTTATTATAGCATTATCTATTTATCTATCTACATGAGGAGCTGGTGGATAGCCTTGTAACAATGTAAACACGCTCACTCGTGCACACACGCATAAAAGCAGGCGTGCACACATCCACTTACAGATTGTTTCGTTGTATCACAGCTCTTCAGTGTGGCTAGACCGATGTGGCATCAGTCAGAGATATTAACCCCCGGGATATCGTCGTTCTACCTAGTTTATCGTCGCCCGGCATAGAGAAAAGGCCATTTTAAAATTTTCTATACGAAATATACCAGTGGCCAGGAGAACTCCATCAATAGTTGAAAAGCAATGGGTTATATATTGTCATCAGCAGACTGTATAACAGCTCTTCAGTGTGGCTAGACGTCCGATTGCTTCCAGCCGAGATCGAAACCTGACTGATATATATATATATATATATATATATATATATATATATATATATATATATATATATATATATATATATATATATATATATATATATATATATATATGCGACGTTAGAATAGATATATATATATATATATATATATATATATATAGTTAACCTAGAGGTATATATATATATATATATATATATATATATTCGCATTATATATATATATATATATATATATATATATATATATACGACGTTAGCCTAGAGGTATATATATATATATATATATATATATATATATATATATATATATATATTACCCTATATATATATATATATATATATATATATATATATATATATATATATATATATATATATATATATATATATATATATATATATATATATATATAATAATAAATCTCGGTGTGCCAGTGTTTCACAAGTTTCAATAGCTTTTGTTACAGAAATTTTGGATAAGCAAGTTTTCTTACGTGACTTATTGCGATGAATTGTTGGGATGATAACAATTTTTATAAATTGGAAATAAATTTTGGAATAATTGGTATTCATTACGAAATACAGTTAAAGTCACACATGAAATAAAAAAAAAACTAATTTTTTGTACGGAAAGTAAGGACCTACGTACACCAAATTCTTTCAAGCTAAGAATTTTCATTAAACTTTTGAAAGATAAGCTTTAATATTAATGCAATACTTAAATGCAGCGATTGATTTTGAGTTCTTGCGTAGTTTATTGTTACTTAAGACATATAGCAACAATATGCCTCGCAAAAAAGAAATCCCCGCCGACAGAAAACCAGATTGCCATCAATCAAACCAAAGCTGCTGCGAGGAAAGAAAAATCCTGTGGGAATGAAAACCCAGAACAACTGGAAGCCAGAAGAGCTTCCAGTGTTGAGAATATACAAATGCTCAGGGACTCTCAAATTCCTGAACAAACCGAAGACGTAATCAAGAGCCCGCCGCAGAAGTTGGCTTAAATACCGCTTTTAACTTAGTATATATATATATATATATATATATATATCAACAACTGTTAAACTATATCACAGCTCATCCGTGTGGCTAGACAACCGATTGCTTCAAGCCGGGGTCGAATCCCGACCGATTTGACATCTAGGCTCTTAGTGCACAAGAGAAAGGGAATTTTATCGCATTATATACGTGATAATACGCCGTATTAACCGCCATAGCTTTCGATTCTTACGAAACCGATGCATTTAAAGCAGCAGAAGCCGTTATAAATTCCCTTTCCCCATCGTGATCTATCGGCGAACGAAATCATAGTCATCCACAGACAGACTATTTCTCTGTATCACAGTTCATCAGTGTGGCTAGATATCCGATTGCGTCAAGCCGGAATTGAAACTCGACAGATTTGACATCAATCAGAGACCCTTAATTGTTGTCTCGCTGTAGCGCTCTAGTAAGTACCTGATTCCTCATTTTATACACTATATTTGCGAGAGACAAATAGGGTATAAAATGGAGTATTTTTGTTATATTTTTACAGGGACTGACCATTCCTCACATTCCAGACTTGATAGTGTTCAAAAGCTTCACCGCATCCTTTTTGATGACAAATTATTTTCCATTCTGCAACCTTTCTCCCCACGGGTGGAATTGGCAAGCTTCTTCCATCTCTACTTTCGCGAAAAGTGCTCTGAGGAACTACATTCCCTGGTCTCGCTTCACATCAAGGACACGCGCTGTCACTTACATAGTAGCAAACCAGCCATATTTCCTCCGTATTCCATCGGCGAGAAGTTCCACTCGAACAGCTTCTTTTCGCGAACCACTGCTCTGTGGAACCAACTCCCAAGAGGATGTTTCCTCGTTCACTACAATTTTAACCTGTGAAGAATATGAATTAACCATTATATTCCACTCTTGTCTGCAAAATTAACGTAACCCTTTATTTCGAGTAGCGCCCGGGCCTTATAAATGATGAACTTTACTGTAAAAAAAAAAAGGATGTATAAACGTTGATATTAAAGTCAATACCGAGCGACGAAAGTTTGTTTCATGCACGTACAAAATTTTCAGTCTATATGTGTTGCCTTTGGGATAGACTGTTTATATATGCTCGTTAGTGGTGCATTATGGATAGCAAGGTCTTTTGGTAGGCGCTAACGGTTATGTTTCAAAGTATTCTAAAGGGTACTGTGTAGGAATAATTGTGTGTCCGAATGAGTTTATTTTCATCAATTTTACAGTGTTGTAAAATAAGTTCAAAGCAAACACACATGATAACCAACGACATCAAATAAATAAATAAAATAAACAAAAACTCAAGATAAATTAAGTAAATATAAAGAAATTAATAAAATTACGACGGTAGATCTAAACATAAGTAAATTTCATACTAATAATAATAATAATAATAAACACAGCATGACAGAATGTACCAAATTCTGCATGAAAGAATTGGCAAATATCTGCACTGGAAAAGTAAGTTCTACGGAAAGGAAACTGAAAAGAATTGGTGTGAACGCCACCCAGACCTGGTTACGAAGATAGGACCTGTAACAGTTTTATGGGACTACACAATACGCACAGACAGAACAGTCAAAGCTAACCGCCCAGACATTGTCATTAGAGACTGCAAAAAAATTGCCTCAATATTGATATGGCAGTCCCTGCAGGCTGCAATCTATCTTTGAAGATCTTCAAAAAAACTATCAAAATACAAAGACCTTGAAACAGAAATCTCAAAAAATGTGGCACATGGGAACATCAACAATCTCTGTTGTAGATAGAGCCCCACGATTGATTGGAAAAGATTCCAATAGACTCATGGAACGATTACCTGATAGCCTCTGCATTAAAGAAATGCAAAAACTTGTTCTGCCGCGTACAGCCCACACCTTACGAAGAGCTTTATCTATGTAAAATATGTGTGCTGTTTTTTTTTTAAATAATATTTCTGACCTTAAGTCTCTGGGCGGGACTCAGAAAGGAATGAGTAAACCCCAAAAATCAAAGGAAATAATAATAATAATAATAATAATAATAATAATAATAATAATGAACTAGTAAAAAATAAATATATTCATAGACATAACAAGTTTGCGATATTTGGGCACTGGAAGATATACAAGAAGCACAAAATCGAAAAACTTGAGAGATGGTATGAGTAACAACCAGACACAGCTACCTAGAATAACGATGTAACTATCCGCTGGGACATGCCAATTAAAACTGAGACGGGAATAATACCCAACAGACCTGATATTATCATAAAAGACAATAAAGTCACGAAGTTTATGCTTATTGACATAGCAGTACCAGCTGAGATAAAAACCTCCATGAAAATTATTAAAAAAACTGTCCAAATACAAGGACCTGGAGATCGAGATTAACAGGATGTAGGGAATGGAGACTGAGATTGCACTAATTGTAATCGAAGCACTGAGCCTCCTGAGAAAAGAAATTGACAATTTTACTAACTCTATCAGGTAACATCAAGATGTCAGTTACCCAGAAAATTGCCCAGCGAGAAAGATCCCATATACTAAGAAAAGTGCTATCAATTAAATGGCAATTTCCTGTAAGGCCTAAGGACCATAGTTTGGACACGGCTCTACAGAATACAAAGCAGGAAACATAATATACACAAATAATAATAATAATGTATTACTGGACACTCGTATTCGAGGATATTCGTCTACTAGGGCGGTTAGCCAATCCCTATTTTTTAGGCATTTGTGTTTATTCAACACCCACAGAGCCTATCTGTGGTTTATACTCTAAATATGCTGAGCAGACCTTAGTTACAGTTTCTGGGAAAGAGCGTGTTATCAAGCGTGATCAACAAGCATGCTCCATCCCTTGGCCACGATTACTTGTGACTTCGTGCTAGCATAGCTGTCGTCGTCCCCCAAGGGTTACGTCTTCCTAATTTCACTCACGAGGTTTGGGTCGACCCTTGATATGGTTTTCAGGTACATTCCAAAGGTGCCGCACGCTGGGATCGATCCCTCCTTTCCGATAACATCAGGAAATCTTCATGACAAATGGACCATGGTGAGATTCGAAGCCGGGTTTTTTATGGTCAGAATGGGAACGTTCTGTGCCCCGTCCCAATAATAATAATAATAATAATAATAATAATAATAATAATAATCAACAGCAAGTAATTAAGTAATCAATAATAAATAGCCAGTAAAAAAATAATAATGAAATGTATATCAGAAAATACTAAGCAGAAGACAATGCATAGTTTGGCGTCATAATAAAAACCGCCAGTCGTGAGGTAACTTGTGATCGGCAGTTCTTGTGCTAAATGTGTAACTGACATATTTCTTTCTTCTTTCATTTTATGTGCCATGTCCCTTCAGGACGTAGGTGATCATGGCTCTCCATCTCCCTCTATCCTAGCAGCTGTCAACAAGTTCCTTCCTTCCGCTTACTCCCGGAAACCACGTTCTGTCATCCACTTGCTTAAAAGCCCGCCAAGTCTGTCACACGTTATTTTCCGTTGGCTCTCTTTCTCACTATTCAACCCGTGATTCTCCAGACCCTCCTTCCTCATTATGTGTCCCAGAAACTTCAGCCTCCTCTTCCTCTTCCATTGTTTGATTCCTCTCTAAGTCTTCATCGTTGCTCACACGCTCTGTCCATGATATCCATAGCATCCTTCTGTAGAACCAAATACATATTTAGCACTCTATAAAGCATCGAAAAAGAACTCTTCAACGTAGTGTAATGGTTAGCAAGATTTTTCTTGCTTGATTAATTGTTATGAATGAATAGCGAGTTTGGTTCTCCCTGTGCCCCATACTACCGGTCTTGTGCCATATCTTCAAAAAGCACCATGAAAGACTGAAAAACAAAAACATATTCTGAATTCATTGACATAAATATTTTGGAAGGAAGCTGATCAATGTAAAATATATATATATATATATATATATATATATATATATATATTTTCTTTTTTTTAAAAAAAAAAGCAACTTAAGCACGAAAGGAAACTGCACAAATGTTTCAGATAAATAAACAGTATTCTTTCATTTCCAATTCTTAAGAAGATTTTGGAATTTCGAAAAATGGATTTCACACAACCTCATGTACAGAAACATCGCTGAGTATTTGAAAACTCGCCTTTCTCTTCTTGCGCAGCGCGAATAAATATTTCGGACACAGGACTCATGAAAAAGGTGTCAAAAGAATGCCCGAAAGCAAAGGACGCCGGCCTTTTTCAAATGTTCTTTGCTAAAGAACATCTGTTAACAGCCAGTAGATTCCATGACCAAAGCAATATAAAAGAAAATGGTTTACAATCTTTTTGCCATTTCTTTTTTACTCTTCTAACCACAGGATATCTTAGAGATAGGACACGTTTCCGCTCTGAGAGATACTTTTTTTCTCTAGAAGAAAAAAACCAAATATCTCGCATTTTTTTTTTTTTTTTTTTGCAGTGAGGTTCATCTTGTACTAAACCCGCAGGCCACTCGAGGTAGAGGGTTAAAGAATTAGAAGCAAAACTTATATGGTTATGTGGGCAAGATAACGGTTAACCCTAGACTTAAACAGGTTAAGATTGTAATGATCGGGCGTCAGTTTTACAGAGCCGTCATTCGCGGGAAGAAGACACTTGAGTTGAAATTACTTCTCACCAATACAAGACGGAATTAATGATTACGGTTTGCAACAATATGCGTGACATGGGGGTTAGGACCCATGGAACTAAGAAATGTAGTTTGTCCGAGCCTTTTCCATTGTAGCGAAAGATTAGTGAGAGGCTTGCGACATCACATCTGTGGGAGAGGTGTTTCTTAGAGCAAAATAATTTGTTAGTCATAAGATCGTGGAAACTTTTTGTAGTCTCTGAATTTGAATACAAAACAGTATAGTACACATCATACAACGTTTATTTGAAAACAAACTGGAATACTTAATATGTCTTCCAAACACAGTAAGTTCTATATTAACGGTTTCTTTTCTTGCATTTCTCACACGCGCAACTTTCTTCCGGCTTTTTGCTTTTTAGTTAACGTTGATCTTCAAATATCTAAATGCAATTGTTAATCTTTATCTTCTGTCTTTTTAATCCCTCTATTTAACATACTTTTTCTCATGTGATTTCACTTTCCATAACACCTTGCGGCTTAGTTGGTGCCTTGATTGGAGTGAAATAAGTGTAAAAAAAAAACTCTTAAAAAATATGTAACTATCTTTTTTTGATGAACTTCATACAAACGTACTTATGAAAAAGTTATCTCTGATTTCTTTTTATTATAAATTTGGTGATGACACGTTATCATTAATTTAATCTTTATCGGACTATTGTCCATATCTTTGTTGTTTTTATCATCTGAACACCTGTCTCGATTTCGAGGATGACGCGTTATCATAATATAATATATATTGGACAATGGTCCTTATTTTTGTTGTTTTTATCATCTGAACACCTTCTGTCTTGATACCGGGGATCGTTCGTTATCAATATTTAATCTATTTATATGGGACTATAGTCCTCATCTTTGGCGTTTTTGGGGGTTTTGTTATGTTGTTTTTTTTTCATCTGATCACATTCTGTCTCCATTTCTGGGATAAAGCGTTATCATTTTTTATTCGATATTGGACTATGGTCCTTATCTTTGTTGTTTTTATCATCTGAATATCTGTCTCGATTTTGAGGATGACACGTTATCATTATTTAATCTCTAAGCCACTATTGTAGATATCTTTGTTGTTTTTATCACCTGGACATCTTCTGTCTCGATTTCGGGGATGACACGTTATCATTATTTAATCTCTAAGGCACTATGGTCCTTATCTTTGTTGTTTTTATCACCTAGACATCTTCTGTCTCGATTTCGCGGATGACACGTTATCATTATTTATTCTATTTATATCGGGCTGTTGTCCTCATTTCTGTTGGTTTTTTATCACAACGTCACGTCCGCCGTGCTCTCTGGCCTTCCTCAGGTTTATATTTATTTGGGTAACCTGCCGAGAATCATGCACTGAACATTTCAGTTAATCTACAAAAGTAAACTGTCCTCGTTTCACTGCCCATGCCTCGCGTATATCGTCTAGATATGAAATTCCTGTAAAAAAGAAGATAATATGCAGAGCTCTTGTTTATAGTACCACCCAATTGTTGCTCCCCCGTTTTCACTGAGTCCAAGTATACAGTGCAAAGGGATTAGAACTCACAAACTCTATGTCACCAAATTCAGGAACCAACACGTTAACCCATTTAACTCAAAAGGCCACTGTCCTGTAGCTAGAAAGGATAGGAAATTGTGGAGAGCCACGATCGGAAGTTGATTGTAATTATGCTCCGGAAAGCAAGATAAATTTTTAAAAATATCAAAATATAGTTTGCGGTAAACTGTTTACTATTGTCCTCATCTTTGTTGCCATATTTATTACAACATTTCAGCCGTTGTACGCTCCGGCCTTCTTATGCTGGTAGGAATGTCGAACTGAACCCTTTATTTCGCTCATTTGTCTTTATCCACTGTTCCATGTGTCCTTGAGGCCACATGGCACAGTGGTTAAAGGCGTTGGTTAGATCTAGTGACATGACCCAAAGAGTGTGAGTTCAATACTCTGTTAAGGCAGAGGGGGATTAACAGGAGATAACTGATAACTGACATCCATTAAACATGGCACGCTCATGGAACTAGAACAGTCTACGTCAGTGAGCGAAATAAAGGGTTCACCTGAAAAAGGCTGGAGCGTACAACGATGAGGACAATAGTTCAAGTAATGTAAATAGTGTACATAATACCTCATCTCGGAAATATAGACAGATAGTTGCGGTATTTAAATAGATCAGTTTCTATCCACAGTGATGAGTGGCTACAAAATAAAATAGGTTACTAAGATGATTTATACATTTGATAAGGCATAAGTTGACAAAACCAACTAAAATTCGTATCCGGCACTCTGATTTCTTAGTCCAAGCCACTATCCATATTAACACCATCACATACTCCGCACAGCGAAGTCGTCATTTGTAGATCTAGAGTGTGTGAATCCAGACCCTTGTACAAATTAATGCGGGCTTGCTTCGGCAATTAGGTGGAGATTCGTCTCCAGCTGAGCTGGTCTAACTCTCTGCCTTCGGGCAGAGAGGAACCCACTCGAGGCTATACCGATACCCAGATACCCCACGTAAAATTCGGCCTTGTGTTACATCTGACCGCGTGGGGCGGTTGGCAAATATCCTCGTAAAAATTAATTGAAACAAATGCTTTAGTTTCCTTTCTTTCACTATACGGTCAGTTTTAAACCCATTAGAGTGACAGGGTTTAATCGAATGCTACTTTTTGCTCGAATTAGGTCACTTGCAATGGCGTGCAGTAATATGAATCTATTTTCAAGGTGTATGATGAAATTGGTTTGGCCTTGAAAAATATTGCGCCATCTGTGATTGCATAAGATTTTTATCACAACCAGACACTATTGTTCCGACTATCTATTATTCGTCCCACGGTCATTGTCTGCGATGAACGTTACTCCAAGCAAGCGGACGAAAATTTGTAACGCTGTACAAACAGACTGACAAGCCTTACTAGTGAGCAAATCAAAGTACTATAAACAGACCGGAAACTCTCCCGATCGAAATCCAATCGAGAATCTGTGGTCAGTCTGCAAGGAACGAGTTCGTGGAATGGACATACGAAGTACTATCATGTACACTAGCTCATGTTTCATTTGAAAAATACGAAAAAAAACTAAATAATAATTTTTCTCCTTCAATTAATTTGCACAAGGGTGTAGAAAGAAAGATCAGAAAAGGCTTATCCTGAAAATCGCTTGGTGAATTAAATCAATGGCCATCTCTCTCTTCCCCCTATCTTGTAGTGTACCTCTCTCTCTCTCTCTCTCTCTCTCTCTCTCTCTCTCTCTCTCTCTCTCCTCCCGATTCTAATTAGGGCGTCTCGTCCTGGAAATGACTACTTGAGATTTTCAATGTAATAAGTCGCGCGTGGGGCGGGGTAGACGACGAAATGGCTGTGACAATATTACACCAAAAATGCTAAGGAGAAATCCCACAAAGATATTTCTTTTTTAAATTTCTTATGTCTAAATTTATACATTATATTACTAAACAAAGCTCTATCTGTCTGTATATATGAATATTTAATTCATTTTTCTGTTTATACGTTATGTTTATAGGTATAATTTATTTAAATAAATGTTCTGGCTTTTAATTAAAAAGCATTAATTACATTTAGCCGCCGGAATATTCGAGAAATTTCGTAGAAAATATGCGTTCCCCGACAGGAATCGAACCTGTAATGGTAACAGTCATTTGATTCCTGTCGAAGAGCGCATATTTTCCATAAAATTTCTGGAACATTCAGGCCGGTAAATGTAACTAATACTGTTTTAACCCCCCCCAAAAAAAACCCCAGAGTGTTTAGTTGAATAAATTATATCCATAAAAATAACGTATAAACAGAAAATATATTAAATAATTTTATATTTATATATATATATATATATATATATATATATATATATATATATATATATATATATATATATATATATATATATATATATAATGCAGAAAAGGTTAATGGTTAAAGTTGAATCAAAGCAGTAAATAGTCGTATTAAATTGTATCCCAATACACGCGTGAAAAAAAATAAATAATTAGTAAAATTAACATGCAGAGCTTTTAACTTTAAAAATCAAGAGGTCAGTTAAATCTGCTACCTTGGTTTCAGACTCAAAGGTATCCTCATGCGATTTTTATGCGATAAGCACATATATATATATATATATATATATATATATATATATATATATATATATATATATATATATATATATATATATAGTTTATGAAAAAATAGGTAATGCGTATCGGTAAACCTAAGGAGGATAAAATCCAGAGAGTTCAATGTAAATTCGGAGCAAATAATTTAAATAAAAACAGACCACTTTATGGTTCTATGCAATAAATTATTTCACCACAGTCCTTTTAAAGGACTGCGGATCATCAGACTTTACTTCCAAACAAAAAATGTAAAGAAAATTTACACATTTTTGGCGGGCCGTATTAAACATATGTAAATTAACGAAGTGAGGAAGTTAGGGGAGGGGGAGAGAGAAGACATGAGTGAGTTAGCAGATATTGACACATTTAAAAATTTATATATATTATAGACCTTTCATTGTCGACTATCTATCTGTTCATGTCTATCGTTTTTATTTCAAACTGTTGATCTATCTATCTATCTATCTATCTATCTATCTATCTATCTATCTATCTATCTATCTGTTTTTTCATTGTCTATTCGTCAATATATCTAACCGCCTGTTTCATTTTGTTCATATATATATATATATATATATATCTATCTATCTATCTATCTATCTATCTATCTATCTCTGTTTTTTCATTCTCTATTTGTCTATATATCTAACCGCCTGTTTCATTTTGTTCATATATACTTATTTCTATCTATCTATGTATCTATCTAGTATGTATGATGGTGTGTGTTTATGCTTGTGTTTATCTGTTTGTGTCTTTACATTCCATAATCTTTAATCTTCAGGAAAATGTGATGCTTGTTCCGCCCTTGTGTGGTTTTTCGCTAAGCAGGCACGCATGCGTGTTTCCACGTGTCTGTCCTCGTGTTATTTTAAGTTTTCATATTTACGTCATTGCCGAGCTTGAAATTCAAGCACGCGTTTTCTACACGCCCGTATCCTTTCTCGCGCGCCGTTTGCATGTGAAATTATATTAATTTACCAGCGGGCGAAAGTTGAAAAGATGCTTTCTCTAGTTGTCTTTAATTTGCAAACAAACTCAACGGAAAGAAATTCTTCTGCGATTACTCGACTCTTTAATTAATTTCTTATGCTGAAACAATGTTTCTCTTGTTGCCATTGCCGCTACAAACTCTTTCGATCATGCCAACGCGATTATCACGCAGAAAGTGTGCGAGATAATCTTTCCCTCTTGGTATGTTTATCGTTGTTGATGTTTTCAAAGCCTGCATCCACCCGCCATAAGTCTTCATTAAAAAAAAAAAAATCGCCGCTTTAAATAGATTCCTGTAGATAACTTCAAGGATTTCAATTACTTACCTTAAACAGCTTACTTTTCTCCATCCAAGAAACAACTAGCGCTGAGAATTTAAGACGAAAATGATCTTACAGTTAAAACATTGGATTATCTCGTCCATTCAGTTATTATTTCAGTAAAAGAAACCTATTCAATTTTTAATCGATCAAATGTTATTCTAATGATTTATCTACGAGATTAGTAGTTTCAGAAATCGGAAAGTAACTCGTCTTCGTGTAAATAATGTGAAATGTATAGTTTCAATATACATTTATATTTAAAGCTTAGAACGCATATAGTTATAGTGAAGTGTATGAGGGGTGAAACATATTAGTTTGATTTGGCATTGTTAGTTAGATAGCCCACATTAGAGGAGTATAAAACAAGAAAATCAATTTGTAAAGTGAAACAACAAATTTATATACATATAAATCAATTCAATAAAATGAATGTATTTTGGTTGATACAAGGTCGTCAAAATGTTCGTAGGAGTCCTTGCAAGAATGAGTTTATGTGTACGTAGGGAGGAACGTATATGTGGATGTATGTATGCATGTATGAGCGTTATTGTTGGGTAGAAATGTCTTTGAAGTAATCGCTCAGTCTTAAAATGTTCCGTTCGTTTGTCAAGTATAAAAGAGATGAGGGAGAAAGGTATAGATATTAATAACGCTCGCTTGATGTTTGTCAATGGACGTGTTAATACTCTCGTCTCCTTCTCTCTGGTGACAAGCGAAATTGTCCGTCTTTTATTTTGTATATATCTCTTTGAAATAATCGCTCCGTCTTAAAATGTTCCGTTCGTTTATCAAGAATAAAAGAGATGAGGGAGAAAGTTATAGATATTAATAACACTCGCTTGATGTTTGTCAAGGGACGCGTTAATACGCTCGTCTCCTCTCTGGTGACAGGCGAACTTGCCCGTCTTTTATTTTGTTTGTGGGGCTTGAAAAGGTTATTTGTGAATTCACTCCCGGATATGATTCGGGCCTTTCCATTGGAGGACGAAAAACTTCGCGTCGGCTCGGGAAAAGTTCCGTAAAAGAATTCTGTTTCTGAGAATTGAAGATAATTTGAATTTTGTTTTAAATATTTCCTAGTTTTCTATTGACCGAAAAACATTTCGCATCAAGGTGTGAAATTTCACGAGTTTTGTTTTGGATTCGCTTTTGCGTGTGTGTTAAGCAAAGTTTGTAAATTCGAGTCTTTTTTAATTTTGTAACAAAATCAATGTGTCAGTGCTTAGCATTTGAATTTTAAATCTAGATCTTGTTTTGCTCACTACACGCAATGTGTATCTATACAAAACTTTATCTGATTTATTTACTATATTTATATATATATATATATATATATATATATATATATATATATATATATATATACTCCATAAACTACACGAATTCACCTGTGTAATAAATTAAAATAAATTAAAAATCAAATTCATTATCTACTACAAAAAAATTTAAAAAGCTAACCTTATCCTCAAAGATAACACACCAGCAAAGGGAAAATTACACCGAACGAACATTATCTATGAGTTCAAAAAACCCTTAAGGAACTGTATTCCTGATCAAAATCGGTCACACGACGGCATGACTATCCAGACGTCTTACGTTACACCTATCCGACCATAGCTCTATTTCAATCCATTTAAATACACACAGAACATTACGAAACTCCATCCAAAATATACTAGTAGAAAATACATATATAATAACTACAACCACATGTAAAAAAAGAGTAAAAACAATGGAAACTTTAATAGTAATAAAAATAGCTAAGACTTACTAATATTAACTACAAACACAGACACTGCGTTCAGAAAATAAAAGTTCTCTATAGCACTAAAAGCATACACAGTTACTAATTAAATTGAAAAATAAAATAATCCTTGATAATGGCTAAAAGTCGAGCAGAATACGCTCGAAATTATAAAACAATTTGACAGTTTCTACACAGCCCATAGAAAAACCATATATATAATATATATATATATATATATATATATATATATATATATATATAGAATAATTAAATCAAAAGCTTAACCGTAGTAACTTGTCTGTCCTCTTTAATGAAACATGCATAAATGAAGAACCGCTGCCTAAACACGCACACACAGACACGCACGCACACACACACACACACATATATATAATATATATATATATATATATATATATATATATATATATATATATATATAATAACTAAAGAGCATAGATAGATAGGTTCTGGCACTTTAGGCATTCTAATTTTGCGCTACTTACTGCATTCATCAATTTTCTGTATCAGTTTAGGTAACTCTCTTGGAGTTTTTTTCTTTAGAACTTGTATCCGACAAATGAAGTGTAAGACGTCTTGATAATATTTGGATTGTCAAGCCAAAATACCTACTTATTCTTTTTGTCAGCACTACATTATCCCAAAGTAAATTATATATCACATTTAAAATAATATACTATGTTGGTCATTTCCTAAACACTAGTTGAGAGAGAAGTTTATATATATATATATATATATATATATATATATATATATATATATATATATATATATATATGCCTGTGTGTGTCGGTGCGTGTGTCTGTGCATGTTTGATCGCATTATATTTGCCTCAATGAGTACATAGAATAAACTTCAGAGCATTTAAATAAAGAGTATAAACAAAAGAAGAGATCTTTTACAAATCAATATACTCTAAATGTAGCAATAATTTCCATTTATAAAATGGTAGTTTAATTTAAAAAGAAAGCAATTTACTATGAGGAATGTCTATACAAACATAAAATCGGTATTAAATTTTCATATATATTCCTATATTTCACATCACCTTGCAGATCTTCTAACATCAAAATATATAATAATTTATAACAAAAGAAAGCAATTTACTATGACGAATGTCTATACAAACATAAAATCGACACTGAATTTACGTAGATTCTTGCATTTCATCTATTTTAGCAGATCTTCTATTGGAATGTATAGGAGACTTAAAATCATAGGTGGTAAAAATTAAACTAATAAAAGAGAAATTAAACGAAATTGGCTGGACAATATGTATAAACGCATCTACAAAAAATTATTTTATATTCAAAATTGAAAAAATTCAGATTAACCTACCTTCTTGCACATGTGTACTTACATCAATATAATTTTCGATTTTGTCCGAATCGCGCGTCGTACAAAAGCATTTTCTACTATCTTATTTATTTTCTTGATATATATATATATAAATCGATTCTCCCGTCGGGTTTGACGTATGAGGGTCAAGCAGATCAGTTTCAGAAACTTATATATATATATATATATATATATATATATATATATATATATATATATATGTATGTATATATATATATAAATATAATATATCTATATGTATATATATATTTAAATATAATTTTCTATTTTATATATATTTTTTAAATATATATATATATTATATATATAAATATATATATAAATATATATATATATATATATATATATATATATATATATATATATATATATATATATACAAAAACTTGTACGCACAGAAGAACAAAATAAATTTAAACAGAATATACATTATTCTTTTACCTTCAGGGGACATTTTCGTCCAGCACTTTCTCAAAATGGGATCGTTGAGTATCTACAGGAGACAATCAGACATATTAGTAAGTAACGAATATCTGATTAACTTAAAATATATTATACATGGATTACATTTTTTATTTTAAAATTATATTTTACATTTGAAATAGTTTGGTGCTTTATTCGATATACAAAAAATTATTAATAAGTTTTCAAGTTGTAAACATTAATATTGTATTAATCATAAAGGAAAAATGAATTGTTCTGTTAAAATGATATAAACGAAATTTCCAAGGATCTTCAGTGGAATTGAAAGAAAATTTTACATATTTACCGAAATCTATGCAAGTAATCTATGCGAGCAATGGATTGATGGTTACACGTAAGCATAGAAATACATTTATGGTGAAAAACTTTTATCTTGATTGATTTTTAATGAAAATTATATCTTATATAGGACAAGTAATCTCTCTTTATGCTTAATATAAAAAAATAAGATTCATAATTCTCATTTTACACACGCACACACACACACATATATATATATATATATATATATATATATATATATATATATATATATGAAAGTAAACATTGAAGTCTTCACGTATAGACGTCAGTCTGTTTCATGTTAGACGCAATCGTCAGGCCACGATATATCAGGTGGCCTGACTGTCGACTGTTTCTGACATTGAGTAATTTATCCCATATATATAGCACTTAAGACTATATATATATATA